TAGAGCTGGTGTTCACCTATCTTCCTCCCCCATAGATGGTTCCCATCCACAGACTGGAGCTCACGATAGAAGCAGAAATATATATAGAAAAGTCAGAAGTAATTATATACAGTGTTATATAGCACATCATACAATTTAATTCATTGGCTATTTTCACCCAAAAGTAAATCCCCTTGAAGCACACATTGGACTTCCCCATCCTCCCACATTACCCACCAAGTGCACCCAGGTCCCTGAGCAAAAGCAATCCTGCAGATGGATTTGCCTTTGCCTGAGACAGGCATAACCCAGACTGCTTTCCCTAGCATATTTTTTATGTGCACTACAGAGACTTTATCCCCTTCTACGATACGTAAATGTTCTGATTAGGCAGGGCCAGCTCAATTGGTAGATCCTTGGTTGACTAACCAACTGGCCTTTGCTAAATGGGTATCCCAGTGTTCAAAGGTCCCACCCCCATTGCTCTCAGCATAGTCTTTAACAGTTCACCATATTGTTCAACTTTCCCAGAGGCTGGTGCATGATAGGGGATATGATACACCCACTCAATGCCATGCTCTTTGGGCCAGGTGTCTATGAGGTTGTTTTGGAAATGAGTCCTGTTGTCTGACTCAAGTCTTTCTGGGGTGCTCTGTCACCATAAGACTTGCTTTTCAAGGCCCAGGATGGTGTTCCAGGCAGTGGCATGGGGCATGGGATGTGTTTCCAGCCATCTGGTGGTTGCTTCCACCATTTTAAGCACATGGCGCTTGCCTTGATGGGTTTGTGGGAGTGTGATATAGACAATCTGCCAGGCCTCCCCATATTTGTATTTCAGCCATCGCTCTCCATACCACAGGGGCTTTAACCACTTGGCTTGCTTGATTGCAGCACATATTTCACATTCATGGATAACGGGCGCGATAATATCTATGGTCAAGTCCATCCCTCAATCATGAGCCCATCTATATGTTGCATCTCTTCCTTGATGGCCTGAGGTGCCATGGGCCCACCGAGCCATAAATAATTCAACCTTATGTTGCCAGTCCAGTTCTGGTTCCATCACCGCTGCACTTGTCCAGTTCTATCATCGCTGCACACTCCTCGGCTTCATCAAAGTTCATCCTTCATTAATCTGGGTGCTTTTTACTGTAATACCCTTGATATGGCATACGGCCACCATAGTGATGGTAGCAGAGGATGGTTACAATCCATCGACCTCTGGGTTATAAGACAGTGTATAATTGTACAGGACAGTGAACAATTTTGTTACCTTATCTGTCATTTCACCTCATCTCTCTCTCACCTTATTGTCTATCTCTGTTCATTTCCAACAAAAAACCTCAACGTGCCTCCCTATTGTGCTTTAGCTATACTGATAGAGAGTCATTTAGTTGAGGTCTGATTTCTGCATTGTAGGCAGTTTCTGCTTCATGCAAAAAAATCTCACCTCCTGTGAATTGAATGTTAATTTCAGGATAGTCTCTTAAGAGGCACTATTTCAAAGAAATGTGGAAAATTCACACCGATATTGCCCAGGATCCTTACCTACTGTTTTGCTTATATCCTAAGACAGTCTCACAGATTGGAAAAGACAGGTTTCTTCTTAGAAACCCAGTCTGTCTTGTTCTCCTGCGAATCATTATATTTCTCAGTTGTTCAAAAGAATACAGCAAATATAACATTGAATCCTAGCACGACAGGATTTTCAGAACTCCTTTCTTATCACTTACTAGTGTTACTGGAATTATATAAAGCTCATGAGTTGCACATCCTCAGAATTATCTGAAATATCTCCATAAAGATAAATGAAATCTTTACATAACCAGTCTGCCACTGAGAGAACCCACATTTTTGTTAGCAGTCAGATCACTCCATTTTTAAGTTACTCCATAAGCAGATGGATGCCATTTAATGCTAGGGGTATATCTGTTTATTAAGGTACCTCTTTTCTGCAAAACCAGAGCATTTTTATCCCAAGTGAGCAATAAACTAAGGGGAAAAAAAATGTAAAAGCCTCTCACTAAAATATCACCAGCACATCATTATTTAAAATGTAAACAAAAACAAAATTACCAAACCATTAGTCAGCCATATAAACATTAGTACATTCTAGTTGTCCTGAAAAAGACTTAAATTTAACAGTAAGCCACAACTAAGACCCAATTATAATAGCTGATTTAGAGTTTAACAGTCTCATTTTCTTGCACTTTTTTTTTTTTCCCAAGGCAAACCTTCTCAGTTTGTCCCATAAGGGAACCTTAGCCATGAAGCTAAAATTTCACACTTGTTTTTATTAAGGAACAGGTCTTTAGGCATAATAGTACAGAAACTGTAATAAAAGCTTAACTTTAAAAAAATTGAAAAGGTACAGTTACACTGGTATCAGATTACCACAATTCCTATTAAGTTAACAGACTAAAAATGCTGCTAGATACTACTCTAAAAAATTGAGTTTTTTAATTTATAAAGTAATGTTATTTTTTACATTTTTTGCATTTTACTCCCCTTCTGTTAGAAATAATTTTTAAACACTGAAACTTAAATTAATCCAGTATTACAGTCATTATATAATATTCTATACATTTAAATACATTAAAATGAAGTTAAAGTGGTAAATATAACATTCTCTCATATTAATGCTCCCTTCTGCTCTTTATCATTGTCAAACAATAACTACAGAAGTTGTAGAAAGCAGGTGTAACAGCTATGCCTTTCTATTTGATTTTGCACACTCAAGCAGTGCAATATATGTGAATGTGAATTTAAACATCACTATCCTAGTGCTGTTCCATATAAATAATAATTGAAAATAATTATATTCTACACGTATCTATAACTCTGAATCTACCTACCCAGGAGTGGAAGGGCTATACCAGCACATTTCTACATTATTAGATCTGCTGAACTTTTGTGCTCCATCTTCCAGAATATTTTCTTATCAACTCTTCTTCCATTGTATTTCAGTCCTACAAAAGAACGATGGGTGACATCTGAATAACAAGGTTCAGGGAAAATGTCAAAAAGTATCAAAGTGACTGAGGAGCTTAATTGCCATACTCACAAAAAACATAGTAATGACACATTTTAGCTCTGTAAGGAGGAAATTCATAAAGACAAACTTAGCTAGGAGCAGTTCATCCCCCAAGGACACGGATTCCTCTCAAAGACAGTTCAGAGCTGAAGCCTAACTTTAGAAGCCCTATAGGAACTTTTCATTCACTACAGGGAGAGCATAGGAAAACTACATTCAGAAAACTGAAGGTAGTCACTGCAGGATCTTCCCCAAACTGTTTGAAAGCTGGACTCAGCTGCGACCAGCAGTCAGATCATCTCAGCTAAAAGTGAGTTCATGGAACCAGACCGACCACCATCACCCACCCCAAGCTGCTTCAGCATAAAGAGAAGTTACTTGCAAGGAACTGAACATCCTTCCTTTATGAGATGTGCCGCCCATCAGCATCTTTACACTGTGTGTAGACCTATGTGTTATGGGACCTATGCGCTATGTTTTCAAAGTTATGTTTACCCCTAATCACTCTTTGCAGAGTGTGGTCTTCTTGCCTTGCAGATGACTACACCTGGCATTGGCAGGCACAGCCTACCTTGTCATTCCTTCCGTCTAATCCTTAAAATCCAAAAAATTTCCCTGATGGAACACAGAGCTAGACAGGGTGGGTGGGTAGACTTACTGGCTCAAATCCAAAATGTTTAACAGGTGTAGCAACACAAACAATAAAAATGAGAATAAAAACTTGTGATTAGAATAAGCCAAACAAACCACTACAGGTAAGCAGATGCAAAGAAATGCAGCTTAGATCACTGCAAGTTAAAAGAAAGTTCAGATTCAAGCCAGTTATTGAGAAGAACTGAAGATCTGGGGCATATTCTGACCACCTATACTGTATGTACAAAGCACGCAAGAAGACTGAGAGAACGAGCACGTGTAATTTATGGGTACTGCTGGAGATGAAAAGTCCCATGGCTGAAGTGACTGCCTTTATGCACACAGACAACACGAACGTACAGACTGACAACCACTCAAAAAAGATCTAATTAAGACACTAACTTGAGCTCTTTTGACTAAACAAGAAAATTGCAATCATTTGTTTTAAATCAATTGTTAAGGAGGTTTCAGTAAGACTACATACACTTACACACGCTCATACCTGTTTTCACCTTAAGTAGTTTACCTCATTTTAATTTCAAAAATCCTTAAGCACCGAACTTTAACCTTAAACTAGCCAGGTTTAAACTGCAACATGAATTGGCACACACTGTTGGCACATTTCGGCATGCGCACCTTAGCCTCCTGGCATTAGTTGGACCGTTACAACTTTACCATGGGGATAAAGTCACTATGTAACTGAGGAATTAAAACAGAAGGGATTTTCATAACATGAAGGCGAGAAGACCTGAAGATGTGACGGTGCATCTTCCCATCCAACAAATCTAAGCAAAACCCCCAGAATATTAACATTCAGTGGTAACCCATCCAAACTGAGCTAATTCTGAAGCATACGTCTGTATGTGAGAAAATACTAACTTGGGGGGTGGTAAGTGAATTTCTGCTTTGTACACGGCACACATGTGGAGGAGATGGGACGGCAGGAAAGACAGTGATGGCAAACGGCCAGAGCAGCTGAAGGGTTAACTGGAGACATTTGGAGCCCCAAACACAGAGGAGTCCGCACAGGTCACAGACTGCCGTTCTCCACACGAGGTGGCAGGGCCGGTCGGCGGGAGGGGAGCCCCCGCGTTACTCCGGTGCGGCGGCGGGAGGGATTTCGGGTCAGGCTGGAGCTGGCGGGACGCGGGCGGTGGCTGAGGTGGACCGAGAAGAGCGGGAGAGGCGCCCCG